AACCCTTTCTGTTACGATAAGACTTGCAGTCGAATGTATGCTTTGTCACAAGGAAGAGGTCTGGCGGAGTTAAAAAAAAAAACTATAAATCAGGTAACATATTGGTATGAATATATAATATATAGTAGGTAAAGGATGCGAGGACGTATGACAAAATTATAATATAATTCTATTGGAATAGTCGGCTGTTTGTCACAGGGCATCATTTCAGCTTTTTCGGGGGGGGGGGGGGCAAAGGCGGATATGCGGGCGAAACGAACGAAATTCTAGAATAAACAGCTTTTATAGGGGCACTTTAAAGCTATAACCGGACCTAAATAAGTGTGATTTTGTATTGGTATCCGCAAACGGCCCCCAAATCACACCTCTTGGACAGTGATGATTCGAGAAATACTGATAGAGGAAATCAATGGAAATATATGATGATTTTGAATGCGCAGGTAGTCAATGGAGGGAGGGTGAGTGAGGGAGGGAAGGAGGGAGGGGGGGAAGGAGGGTGAGTGAGGGAGGGAGGGAGGGAGGGAAGGAGGGAGGGGGGGAAGGAGGGTGAGGGAGGGAGGGAAGGAGGATGAGAAAGGGAGGGAGGGAGGGAGGGAAGGAGGGAGGGGGGGAAGGAGGGTGAGTGAGGGAAGGAGGGAGGGAAGGAGGGAGGGGGGGAAGGAGTGGTGAGTGAGGGGTGGGAGCGGAGGGAGGGAAGGAGGGAGGGGGGGGAGGAAGGAGGGCGAGACACTGAGGGAGGCGAGGGAGGGAGGAAGGAGGTAGGGGGGAAGGAGGGTGAGTGAGGGAGGAGTGGAGGGAGGGAAGGAGGGAGGGGGGGAAGGAGGGGTGAGGGAGGAGGGAGGAGGGGGAAGGAAGGAGGGTGAGTGAGGAGGGAGGGAGGAGGGAAGGAGGGAGGGGGGAAGGAGGGTGAGGTGAAGGGAGGGAAGGCGGGAGAGGGGGAAGGAGGGCGGAGGGAAGGAGGGAGGGGGGAAGGAGGGTCGAGGAAGGGAGGGAAGGAGGGCGAGGGGAAGGAGGGTGAGTGAGGGAGGGAGGGATGGGAAGGAGGGAGGGGGGGAAGGAGGTGAGTGAGGATGGAGGAAGGAGGTCAGTGAGGGAGGGAGGGAGAGAAGGTGAGTGAGGGAGGGAGGGAAGGAGGGTCAGTGAGGGAGGGAGGGAGAGAAGGAGGGAGGGGGGGAAGGAGGGTCAGTGAGGGAGGGAGGGAGGGAAGGTCAGTGAGGGAGGGAAGGAGGGAGGGGGGGAAGGAGGGTCAGTGAGGGAGGGAGGGAGGGAGGGTCAGTGAGGGAGGGAGGGAGGGTCAGTGAGGGAGGAGGAAGGGAGGGAGGGTCAGTGAGGGAGGGAGGGAGGGCCAGTGAGGGAGGGAGGGAGGGAGGGTCAGTGAGTGAGGGAGGGAGGGAGGGAGGGAGGGTCAGTGAGGGAGGGAGGGTGAGTGAGGGAGGGAGGGTGAGGAAGGGAGGGAGTGTCAGTGAGGGAGGGAGGGAGGGAGTGTCAGTGAGGGGAGGGAGGGAGTGTCAGTGAGGGAGAGAGGGAGGGAGTGTCAGTGAGGGAGGGAGGGAGGGTGAGTGAGGGAGGGAGGGAGTGTCAGTGAGGGAGGGAGGGAGGGTCAGTGAGGGAGGGAGGGAGGGAGGGAGGGTCAGTGAGGGAAGGAGGGAGGGAGGGAGGGAGAGGAAGGAGGGAGGGAGGGAGGGTGAGTGAGGAAGGGAGGGAGGGTCAGTGAGGAGGAGGAGGGTCAGTGAGGGAGGGAGGGAGAGTCAGTGAGGGAAGGAGGGAGGTTCAGTGAGGGAGGGAGGGAGGGAGGAAGGGAGGGAGGGTGAGGGAGGGAGAGAGGGTGAGTGAGGGAGGGAGGGTCAGTGAATAATAATTAATTAATAATTAATTAATAATAATTAATTTTATTTTGCTTCTAAATTATCCCCTGTGTGCAAGGAATGGCCGGGGTTACCATCCACTGGCGGCGAGGGATTCGAACGCAGGTCAGCAAGATTGCTAGACGAGATCGCTACCGCTGCACCACACAGCACCCAAGGGAGGGAGGGAGAGAGGGAGGGAGTGTCAGTAAGGAAGGGAGGGTCAGTGAGGGAGGGAGGGAGGGTCAGTAAGGAAGGGAGAGAGGGAGGGTCAGTGAGGGAGGGAGGGAGGGTCAGTGAGGGAGGGAGGGAGGGTCAGTGAGGGAGGGAGGGAGGGAGGGTCAGTGAGGTATATATATATACGTATGTGTGTGTGTGGGGGGGGTGTATGAGTGTGTGTGTTTGTAAGTGTGCGTGTTTGTACGCGGGTATATGTTTATTAATTACACCTTTAAACCGTCACATGTGCCACATACCCTAATAAAATATAGCAATCATGATCATTACCGCCAGTTACAATGCTTTGAAAATTGAATATCTAGTTCATCTATTATCCATCTATTGATTCCCTTTTTGGTCTAATCTGTCCTTACAATGGAGCCTATTGTCCTCCCTTTTATTGTTGCACAGAATTTCCTCCGCCCGGATGGGTCTGATCAGCTTGCAAGTCCTCGGGTTCAAGTTGCAAGAACCGCCGCCCCCTTTTTCCTCGTCATCTGCAACGAACAAGAGTTGATAAACAAAGGACAAAACTCAAATTCAAACTAAGACAGAAAAAGACAGAAGAGAAGGAAAGAAAAAAGAAAGAAAAAGTATCATTATTTATTAATTAAGTTACAATTTACCTTATATCTCTTCTTTTATTTATCATATATCAAAATATATCAAGCTATCCTTTTTATTCAGTTATATTCAACATATATCACATATATCAATTTGTATCAATTTATCCTTATTTATCTTCATATATCTCGTTACAAAGGTTCTTTAGAATTAATTCATGTTTAAACAAAAAATTATAATGATAAGAACTGCATGTAATAATTTTAGACAGATATAAGTTATATGATAAAATAATCATTATATTATAAACATGAACATTATATATTGATAATAATAACAATCAGATACTGATACTGATATTATTAGCATCATAATTATAATGATAAAATAATTATAATGAAATAATAACAATGACAATAACATCAGCACTGCCTTACCTATTTCAATCCAGGTGTATTCTCGCCGGTAATAAAACTTGAGGCGTCTGGTATGACTTTTGCAGATTTTTTGGAATTCTTCACCGCATCTTCCGCCTCGTTTGTTCCATTATATTCAAACCATGTTCCTTTCTCTCCCTGGGGAATTGGAATCTGTTTAGAATGCTCCATCTGCGCATAATTTTGGACATTGTGATTAAGCCATTAAGTCGTCTATTGTTGTCTCGCTGCGATGTCCTTTTGTTTTTGTTTTGTAATAACCATGAGAACCTATGCAGTAGGATGAATCATTGATCTATATTCTAGTTTATAAGCTTTGAATTTCCTTAACTTTTTTTTTTGATACCTTAATGGGCGTTACTGCTGAATATATACCAATGCAGTTCTTTGTTTAACCATTCCCAACATACGAATCGAATCAAACTGGTCTTCTAGTACTTCGCTTACCACTCTTCCCGAGCGCGTAAATAAGACGTATTCTTCGCCTTTTTGATAACCTGAATGATATAAAATTCATTCATGTTCTTTCTTACGTTCGCTTAGACCAGAAAGCATGAATAATCCGGGTGCACCTTCGCATGAAATAATAGGAACATGATGGTTGTATATGATGGTTGTATACTATAGATTTTTCCTGTGCTGTAAGATAAGCGCGGTGACTGTTTTTTTTTTTTTTTTATTCTCTGTCGAAAGGTGTTAATTCGAAGTTTTTAAAAATATATTAGTGCAAAATTCTAACGACGACTAATAGATCATTTGTCGGCGTTTCGAGGGGGGGGGCGCTGGGACGGATCAGGGCCTTAGATTCTTCCTTTTAAGGTCATGTGTGTATAAGCTTACAAACGTACATGTATATAGAGCACACACATACACACACACACACACACACACACACACACACGCACACGCACACGCACACGCACACGCACACGCACACACACATATGTGTATGTGTGTGCTCTATATACGTGTACGTTTGTAAGCTTATACACACATGACCTTAAAAGGAAGAGTCTAAGGCCCTGATCTGTCCCAGCCCCCCCCCCCCCCTCGAAACGCCGACAAATGATCTATTAGTCACACCGCGCGCGTGTTTGCGTGTCTACTTGTGTAGCTAGCATTTAGGGGCAAACTGTGTAACCTTTTTTTTTCAGTTTAACAATACTGCAAATCAGAATCAGTAATCTGGCAAGAAATCTACGCTCAGGTGGTAACTATGAGAGTGTGGCAGCTCTAAGGGCCGAGCCACCCTCTGTGAGGACCAACATCACCTTGTTCACCTTCTCCTCCAGTTGCGCAACCCTGTCGCGTAGTTCGGTGATCTCTGCAGCCCCGCTCGCCGGCAGGCGCGGGAAATCTCTGCGGCTGGTGACGTCACACAGGGCACGGTGTGGCGCTTCCCCGGCACCCTGGCCGCGGGCTGGCTTGGGAGGGCCGCGGGCTGGCTTGGGAGGGCCGCGGGCTGGCTTGGGAGGGCCGCGCTGGGCACTCGCGGCCGGTGCTGGGACCACAGGGGATGGGGGGGGGGGGGGTCAGGGCAGGAGAGAGTGTCTTCTCGCACAAGGTCGAGTGGGGCCCCCCCCCCCCCCGGGCCCGAGAGTCGTTGCCGAAGTTCGGTAGCCATTTCATTTTTCGGATTTCGTGGTGCCTTCAGGGAGGGCGAGGCGAACATAATTCTTCTTAGGTGCCAGTGGTGTCTTACCGGCATTGTCGAGATTTCGTTTTTTCTTAGTTTTCGACTTCACTAATGTGAAGCCGTTACTTCCTCCGGCATCGTCGCTCACCTGGGCGTCGGGATCACCTTCAGCACGTTGCATGGCAATGGATTCAGCAGGGTTATCCACTGAATTACAGACTGAGAGGGAAAGTCCAGTCCCCCCATACAACATTCCACATTTAGTGTCGGAAGGGTACTAAAGAAAGATCCCAAAAAAGT